GTCCCTGCCTCACGAGTCTTTGAAGGGGGCTCTCTGGCCGACCTGGTCCGCTTTTTCCCCCACCCCCTGGAAGTACCCCCTTTGCCGCCTTCCCACCAGCTCCGCCCCCTCCCTAGACATACCCCCCACCCCTATTTTACCGCCATCATCTGCACGCGCGAGCTGTCACCCGGACGCTAGACAACCGAACTTGGCCCCGCCCCCTTCCCACCCATTGGCCCGCACGCCGGAGCCCCGCCCCCGGCCCCCGCATTGCGCCAACGGCGCAGCGTTGGGCCCAGACCCCGGCGTCCGCTCCCAGGGTTCGCGCCGCGGGCGCAAAGTTTAGGGTCAACCATAAACGCAAGGCCAACTTGAGCCTAGCGTAAGGGGCGGCGGCGTAGAGGGACGCTAAGAATCGCGCATCGAAGTTTGGTTGAAGCACAAGAGGGGTAAATAAGGAGGTTTCCAGACAAAGAGACTCTCAAGGTACCGAGTCTTCGGTCCGTCCCTCCTCCTTAAAGGGCCAGACTCCCTAGCTTAGCCCGTCGCTGCTCCCTTCTCCCCCGCCCCTCAGCCGTGGAACAGTGAAGGAATATTCGATTAGTTCCCCGCACTTTTTGGAGCTCTTTTAACATCTCTCACCACCGCCACGGGGGAAAGCCGTTCTCACTACCCCGTCTATGCTTTTGTTTTGTTCTGTTAAAAGACTCAAGTTTTAACCGGGTGGTTTGTTCCCAACGCAGCAGCCTCCGAGCCGTGGGGTTTCCTGAGGCAGCGCCTTTGCCAAAAGTTACTGCTGGCTTCCAGACGGGAGAGCACGTGTCTGACTTTTGTCGCTGACGACCGAGGCGGGATTCAGCTGTTTTATGGAAATCCCCTCGAGGAAGTTTCACTCCGTTAACTGAGGACGGTCGTTCCGCAGGTGGAGGGGATGGAGACCACAGGGAAGCGGAACGGCGGCGATTCCTACGAGCCTGCTGTCTGGGAAAAGGTTCCTTCCCGGGCAGCCTCGGGTGCATGGTCCTGACCCAACTCGTGCGCGGTGACGGTACCCCAAGTAAGACCGACACTGTTACATCACCCAGCACATGACTAACGCAGGTAAAGGCTTACATTTAAACATAAGGACATATGCGTTATCAGCTACACTGGCGCAAGGCTACCCACTTGGAAATATGAAATGGAGACGCACAAAGGCCAAAGAACAATAAAGTAAGAAGGGGGAAACAGCACTGCGTGTCTAAGCATAAAACTACAATGCCTGGAGCCGAGCGCAATTATGTGTGAAGACATTTCCAAAGGCAATTAACTTGGACATGTTAAAGAGATCTGATGGAAGGAAAGGACCTGGTGATTGATTGATTTGGTGAGGATGTTGTTATGTGGCTCGAGTTCAAAGTTAGATATAAAATTCAGCATTCCCTTTGTTGTCTATCACCTTTAACGTTATTCTTTTTAAGAAATTCTTATCTTACATTATAACTCCTTACTTATTTTCTGCCTTTGGTCCCCAAACCGCCCAAGAAAATTCTTGGAGAATAAAGATTGTATCTTATTCAGTGTTAATTCCCTAACAAAGAGCCTGGCACATAATAGGTGCTTTTGTTGAGTGAAGGATTTGGGAGATACTTAAGACTTCTGAAGGAAGGGTGCTCTCAGAATAGCAATCCAGCAGGGAAAGATTCTCAGTGCTGTGAGCATGTATGATTAGATCGGTGTTTCTCAAAGTGTGGCCTGTGGAGCCCTTGGGATCCCTGAGACCCTTCTGGGGGTGGGGGTGGTCTAAGATCAAAACTATATTTTCATAATAATAAGATATTATTTGCCCTTGTTACTGTGATGACACTTGCACTGATATAAAAGTAATGACATAATCAATAAAGAAAAGAAAAAAATAAAAATAAATGACAGGTAAAATTGTTACTGTCTTAACAATTTTAAGCAATGGCACTAAATTGTACTAGCAATCAAGGTTTTTATTCTTCATTGCAACCCATTCACAGGGAAAAAATACCTGTTCTACTTAAGGAAGTCCTTGGTGAAGCACTAAAAATTATTTGTTTTATTTAAGTACAGATCTTTTCAATAATGCTATTCAATGGATGTATGCATAGAGCACTTCTGTTCCTTACCTAAGCACAATGATTTTCTTGAGGAAAAGCACTTGTGCAATTTCTCTGAATTTTGAACTGAATTAGCAACTTTCTTCGTGGACTACCACTTTTACTTGAAAGAACAGCTAACACATAAACTAAAGTAATTCAACCTTAGGCCTCTGACAGATATCTTCTCAAAAATAAACAAAGTGAGCCTGACAAGCATTTGTTAGCAATGATAAAACTCATGCCCTCAAACAAAACTTAGAATTTTTTTAACACTTGTATCCATCACTGTGAGCTTAACAGCTTCCCGGGGCTTTTCTGGTGAGATTGGTTGTGATTTTGATACTATATGATGAAATGTGTGTCAAAATTTACAAGATCTGCAGTATTTTCCAAATGACCAATCACACCTTGGTAAAAAGATCCCTTCCAAGTGTAAAGTAAACCAATGAATGCTAATATATAAGAGCACAAAAAGTTCACTGAGTCTGAGATTCCACATTGCAACTAACCTTTACTGGGACTGTGATGTAGTATCAAAGAATTTCCACAATTATCTGAAAAGGTTTTGTTGTTGTTGTTAATCCTCACCAGAGGACACTTTTTCCCCCACTGCTTTTCAGAGAGAGAAGGAAGGGAGGAAGGAAAAGAGAGAGAGAGAGAAACATCAATGTGAGAGAAATACATCCACTGGTTGCCACTCCAATGTGCTGTACCCACCAGGCTGGGAGCAAACCCTCAAGGCAGGTACGGTCCCTAAACCAGGAATTGAACCCAAGACCCTTCACAGTGAGCAGGCTGAAACTCTAACCACTGAGAAACACCAGCCATGTCTGAAAATATTATTAATATACTCCCCCCCTTTTCCAACTACACATCTATGTGAGGTTGGACTTTCTTCATATTCTTCAACCAAAACAAGAGATTTAATGCAGAAACAGATATGAGAATTCACTCTCTTCTATTATGCCAGACATTCAAGAGATTTGCAAAAATATAAAACAAGGCCACTCTTCTCACTAAAATTTTTTAAATAGTTAAATATTTTATTTATGTTAACATGCGATAGGTTTAGTGTTACCTTTAAATGAATTAAATACTTTCATTTTTTCACTATAAATTTTTATGAAGGTAAATATCGATATAACCTACATAAACAAAAGCTCTTTGAGGTACTCAATAATGTTTAAGAACACCTAGGAGTCCTGAGATCAAAACGTTTAAGAACTAAGTGTTAGATGAAAGCAGACAGAATAAGAAGGCTATTTTTTGACAATTCAAATATGAGACAACTATGCAGGATAGCTAACAAAAGATTTTATTGTAGCTTCAGAGTTAAGAGCTTAGGTAGTTCATCAGTGAGGAATGGAAAACAGAATCAGGAACACTGAACTTTGTTTAAAAACAACTGATTACAAATGCAATCATGATACACATGGCATTAAAAAAAAAACAACATTCAGAGACAGCCACAAAAGGCTTGGGACCTGAGGGGAAACAGGAATGGATGTGCTTCAGTAAAAGATTAAAAGATATAGTTGTTTCTAACCCACTTCCTTTTTTTAAAGCCCAGCCCCTTTTTCTTTAGGTTAAAGGACAACAAGTAAAATGTTATCACTATGAATAAGTATTAAAAACCTATTTCCATGCTTAAGAGATGGTCCATACAAATGGTCCATACAACTGTGTTCACTGACCTGGTTACAAAAAAATACAAAAACCTATATGCTGAATATGTTCTCTGCACCCTCTCTACGCTGCTTGTTCTCTAATACAACACCCTTTCCACTAAAGAATTTTAACCTGCCACTAAACAGTAATGACCTCATAACCTCCCACTTTAAACATCCTCATCAAACACCAATACCTACAGCACCATTAAAAGATGCAAGAGCAGAAGAGAGACAGCATCTCCTTACTGACAAAGCACTCTTCTATTCTCCCTTGAACCTCTCAAGGAGCCGATGAAATATGGAGGGTCGGAATCATCATTCCCACTTTACAGATGAGACCCAAAAAGACCAACCTGATTGAAGCTACTGGGCAAATTAGAGACAGTACTATGGCCAGCACCCAGCCATCTGTCTCTAACACATGGTCTCTTCCCGTTAATAGGCTGCCTCAGAACAACTGTCACCTCTAATCCCTAGCCTTGCCTTTCCTACATGACAAAAGATTTCTACCCTTAAAAACAGGTCTATGCCATCTGATGGGGCAGGAATGTGTTGGGAAATGAAACAGAGAATAAAAGAGAATTAGGATTCTTTGTCATAATAGTTCCAAGAATTTTTTTTAACCTGCTCATTTCATCACAGAGACTAGGAATTATTTCTCTGCCATCAATCACCTCCTTATGAAAATATATATACTCATTATGCCTAATTCCATCATAACAGAATAATTTTCAGATCCCATCGAGTGTGTCATAATGAAGAGTAACTGGGGGGCCACCAAGAAAGCCTGCTGTAAAGATTGCTTCATACATATTTATTTCCACTCATTCTAAAAGGTTCTATGTTTATGAAGAGAGCAGTCCAGCTTCCCAGAAACTGAATGAAAGGCCTGAAGGACTACAGAATGAAGGAGGAAATTCCATGGAGAGGACCCCAGATAAGGTGTCCAAAAGGCAGGGCAAGTTCTTGCTCCCGATAAGCCAGCTGGACATTTCTCACGGCTGCTTTATTTTTGTCTTCCTGCTGTTTCCCTTCAGAGACTCATTTTTTGGATCACGAACTCTGGAGATACTCTAATGAACCCTATAAATCCTATTTCCCCAAAACTGTACACCTACACAAAGCAGTCTCCAGTTTCAGGACATCTTAGGCCTCTTGAGGCTCCCCTTGGGGGCTGATGACCTGCAGTAATGTTAGAACCCCTACTTTAGGGTCATAGTTCATGCATACTCTGGCACCAGCTCACAACAAATCCCTCATTAAGCACAATGCAATCTCCACAATCTGTGAGGGAAAGGACAAGTATGTTTTGTTGGGTTTTTGTCTCAAGAGTGATAAAATCGGTGAAATACAGAGGAAAGGGATTTCCCTAGATTCGGCCAAGTCAAGGGATGGTGTTAAAGATATGAGTACTGAAGGTCAAACTAGCTGACCTAACGAGTCCCTTCTACTCCAAGAGACTGAATGACAGAAACTCACCTTGGGAAAAGTCTACCCCAGGAAATGACTGCTCTAAGGTTAAAGACACCAACCCCTAGGAGAGGACCCAACTTGTAATACAACTGGTTTCAGCCACTCCACATGGCAACTGTAACTAGGGCCTACCGCCCAGAGCACTCAAACAGCAGCAGAGACGGGGAGGGAGGCTGTCGGGAGAGACAGGCAGTACTGGGAGTTACAAAAAGGCCACACATAAACCTCAGTCCTGCACGACTCCAGATCTTCTGTGAATGTCCTCAAAATGTTCAACCTATAGACCTTCCTATCTTGTACTTTAAGGGCCTCAACTTTCAAAACCTGGAAGACATGCTTAAGTAGGAGTTTCTAACTGCTCCTCTTACCTGCCAGGATTTGGAGATAGAAATTTCACTTCCTCATCCTGAAGCCACAAAAATGAATACTGGACCCACTGGTGGGAAGGAATGGTCAGTTTTTAGGTATTTTCTTCAGTGAAGCAGTGACACCGATAGAGTTCGGGGAAATGTGACTACTTGGTACTCAAGATCCAAGGAAAGCAAGCAGGAGGCAGCACAGGAACAGGGTACAGTGAATCAGAACAGCACAGCAGAAACAGAGCAGGAACCCTCATGGACACAAGAAATGGACTAGACACTAAATAGAGCACAGTGTTTCCCCAAATTCCAGCACTTGCCTTCTGCCTCTATAGATTTTGCCATTTGCCGGTATCATCTGTACTATAACTTAATAGTTCTCTTTTGCAAAAAACTTACCCTCATCCTAAGGAATAAAGGGCTAGTTATATTTTTCTCTAATATACATGAGAGTAAGACATAAGTATTAATGTAACCATGTTTTCCACATTCCATCTGAAACCACCTGGCACCACAGAGGTCCAGGTGTCACACTGACACAGCTGGTAGCTAGGAGACCCGGTTGTGAAGTTTGGTCCTGACTCCAGCCTCATTTCTAGGCAGGCCCCTCTGGGGGCCACTGCTTTCCCATCTTAAAGAAGAACTAGATGAGTCCCACAGCTGCCCTGTGTAGCTCTGAGAGTCAAGGTTGACAGATTTCTATGTGGCTCTGGCAAAGGTAGCCACCAAGTTGACTTGTTAGCAAGGTCCTAGAAATTCCCCCGTTTCTGCGCTTTTGGGGGTTAGCTACAGGTGGGGGAAGGGGTAATGCATTTGGAAGCAAAGGACGCTGGGTAGAAGACAGCCTAGTGTAGAAGGAAGAACATGAGATTTGAACCCCAAAAATATGGCATCTCCATTTAGCAGCCAAGTTTAAGGTTTTTTTCACTTATAAAGTGAAGATAACCATGCCCTTTTTCCTTAAATTTATACATTTGCTCCTCAATTTTCTATCAACCGGAGCTTACAAAAATGCACACACTGATATTCCTAGACTACTCTTGAAAGCCCCATCCAAACTGGCACACAAGTAGTCTATGGATAACATTTAGCCCCTTCTCACTAGTTATTGGTTCCATTTTTGGCAATTTTGCAAGTGGAGGCATATGTTAAAATGTATTGCATTACCCGCCTTTTTTAGTGATAAATTTTCTTTAACTGACACAAAGGACAAACACAGGCAAAAGTAACTAAAGTGGCAGTTCTTAAAGCCTGAGCTGGATTTAAAGCCGGTCAAATGTATGCTCAAATAGGAAGAAGAATAAAAGTGAAGAATGTGTAGGAGTCAAGGCTGTGTCTAAAAGCAAAGTATAGTTAGGGAGTTTATATTATTTTTTAGGTTTCAGGGAACAGAATCTCCTTACAATGTATAAGTCTAGAGTCAAATTTACCACACTCAGCTTCCATATATTATTATGAATACATTATGTTCAAAATGATGTCTCAAATCATGGAAGACTGGTGGCAGCCTACAGAAAAATACAAGTAGATACATCTGGATAAGAGCACATATAAATCAGAAGGCCAAAAACATAAGGTCTGTGCATTTTATTGTGTGTAAATGATATTTAAAACATACCTCAATTTCAATATAGCAAAAATAAATCAGAAAAGCAGGGGAAGTGAGAACAACAAATGCGGAGGACAGGTCCTAGTTATAAAGTTGACTCGAGCTTCCTGCCAGCCAAAGCTAAAAGGGTCTACTGACAGATTCTTGCTGCAGAGCCCTATGTGTGAAAACAGTTTCTCCTTAGGTGCCTTCAAAGAGGGACAGTATCCTTGAGGGCAGCGTAGCAGTGTGTACATTAGACCATCCCCCACTGTGTATCTCATCGTTAGCCTGACTGACTGTTTCAGCAGCAGGAGTGGGGTGGGCAGACAATGTTGATCAAATGAGCAGCTTGGAGGCGCAAAGGAGATGAGAAAGCTCAGTGCATCGAGTCAACTGGGTGCATGCGAACTGGAGAGGCCTAGATACTAAGACCTAGGCAAGGGGTTTGGAACTGACTTCCTAGTGTGACTAATCTAGCTAAACCAAAAGGGACTCTGGCATCAGCCCTATCCCAATCCAATTCATAAACAACTGGCTTAGTTAGAGGGAGTACTGACTGCAAAGTAACAGCCAAGAGCATTCCTGGGCACATCCACTGAGCTCCATGTAGCAAAGGCCATTAACTAGACCATTTTCTCCATCTTCCAGTCACAGGATCCCTGAGTTTTAACTGGGCACATGATTACTCAGATAAGAGGCTCTATATCCTGCTGTCCCTTTCAACTAACTGTGGCCACAGTGGTTTGAGCAACTCCAGGTCATTCATATTCTTTATAAAAGAAACTGCTTTGTTCTCTCTTTCCCCAGTGATATGCGGACTTAGAGCTGATGAGTCTGCTTTGACCTTGCAGGCAAGGACAAGAAGCTAGTGGTGGCTGAACAACAAGATTAAAAAAACCTAAGTTCCTGATGACCTTGTAGAGTTAAACCTACCCTGGACCACCTGACTACCTCTATTCTATTAAAAGAGAGATTAAACTTCTACTAGGCTCGCTTTGTTATATAGGACTCAGGCAATTCCCTAGAAAAGTCAACTCTCAATTCACTTCAGCAAACAGGTCAGAAAATGCCATCCATAAAATAAGCTGGCCTCCTACCCCTCTAGGAGGCGAAGCACATCTCTGAGCAGAGGAAGAGGCCTTTATTGCAGCGCAGCCCAAACACAAAATGCAGCCTGCCCACCGGCCCAGGCCAAATCCACAACAGCTGGAGATACAGACTACTTTCCCCACCAGGGCCAGGCAGGGACGCCCTGTCCTACCTGTGCCCCTACAGCGGGAAAGCTCCAAACTTCTCCACTCTTCATAATCACCGTTCTGGAGGACAGGCCAAGTCCAGTACGGCAGGGAGTGAAACAGCTGTCGGGACTGTGTGTGAGGGTCAGGGGAGGGGGTCCGGAGCCCCAGAACAAAAGCCACAGCTGGGACTGGAGAAGGAGAGAAGCCTCCATGTCCACCCTGAGTTTCTGGGGCCCAGAGCCCTGAGGGTGTAGCACCTGCGCCTCCTGTGGAGTCCCTTGGTGATGGAGCTCAACCATGCAGCTGCCAGTCACTAACGAATCCCAGCCACCGGCACCTGCTGCTGCTTGCGAATCTTGTTGAAGAGTTCCATGTACTGGACCATGGTATCTGCTGGGCCGTAGACTGTGTCGTGTCTGCTGCCAAACACTGCGGGAGCCCCGGGTGTGTGGCTGCCTAGAAAACTCTGTAGGAATTCGAGCAGCAGGCTCCAGCAGTCACTAGCTACCACACACGGGCCATATTCCACCTGGGACCAAAGGAACAGAGAATGAGGGTGAGTGCAGGCAAGGATGAGGACTTCTGTTTCCCTTGCACCTTCTACCCTTGCACCCATCTTCCACAACCCCAAGCCAAAGACACACACCTTCTAGCACAGTGTTGCTGCACAGGAAATACTCAACCCAAACACCAGGGATTTAACACACCACCATTCCCCTTTAGGCATCTCTGACATTCTTGTCTTGGAGTTATCAACCCCCAGCCCTGCCCACAAGATCCAAGGGCAGATCTGGGCCCCTCTGGATTATCTCAGAACTACATACAATGGGGCCTTGACTTACGAGTTTAATTCGTTCCGAGACCGAGCTCGTTAACTCAAATTACTCTATCAACTCAATGCAAAAAATCGGCCAAGAGACAGCTGTATCTCAAAAACTCGTTAGTCGGGACACTCGTAAGTCAAGGCCCCACTGTAATCCCTACATGCTGGGACATTGAAGGAGAGCTCAGGAAATTCTGAGAAAACGAAGAGAGAATGCGTGTGCGCGTGTTAGGGGATCAATAGAGCGCAAAGTGGACACATATGCTCATACGTCTCTGCAAGACCAAATATTACTCCCAGGTAGATCCAGCCTGGGCTCCAACCCTAAGAAATAATTTCCTGATCAATGTAGCGGGGGCCACATGATACACATCTTCAGCTTTCTCGCTGGGGAAATCACTGGTAACCAGGAGAAACAGCACAGAAACAGCTGGGGTATGTTTGCACTACAAAGCTGGAAATGTGGAGGATAAACACTGGGGTCCCAGTGGGTCTCAGCAAATGCAAGGTGTGTCTCAAGCTGAACAGGGTGAGGAAATCTTGGCCCTCGAGTACCCTGGAATGTTAGAGCAGTAATCCACTAATGCCCTGTTCTCTGCCGGGGCCGCCTTTTAGGACTTAGCTATCCCCATGTCTCCACATGTGAGTCCCTCCTTAAATGCTGGTCCTGTAGGAGGCTCACAATCCAAGTCAGCAGTGCTCTCACTGGCATGAAGTCCCAGAGCAATCTGTGGCATTTCTCATAGACCAGTGGTCAGCAAACTCATTAGTCAACAGAGCCAAATATCAACAGTACAACGACTGAAATTTCTTTTGAGAGCCAAATTTTTTAAACTTAAATTATATAGGTAGGTACACTGTTATAACTTAATTAGGGTACTCCTAAGGCTTAGGGAGAGCCACACTCAAGGGGCCAAAGAGCCGCATGTGGCTCACTAGCCGGAGTTTGCTGACCACTGTCATAGACTAATTGCAATAACGGTTTGTGATCTGGCCCTGCTCTCTTACTAAATAAAACATTTGCAAAAAACAGACCCCATAGCTTATGTATTTTTTTTTTTTTAATCTCACAGTGCTGGGCACATGGTAGATTGTGGATTACCACTGGTCCCAAAGCCAGCTACTCGTCACACTCCCTCTGTCATTTTCAGTCTAGCCCTCAAAGGTGAAACCATCACACGTAGCCCTTTCCACCATGAAAGTGGATAGCATGGCAAAAGGGAAGGCACAGCTTTGCTACATCACTTTTGAGACCCATCTGCAAGCATCCTAAGGAGAGATGTGCGGACCCACCTCCCAAAAGTTAACTGCACTGAAAGTTCTGGTCTGCTCCAATCCTCTTATGAAGGATGACTGGTCCCTCCACAAAATTCACCTGCCTCTCTTGGTTTTTTCTAGGCTTCCTACCTGCTGTGAACCCAGCTTCCAATTCCCATCCTGGTCTAGAGTCTCGAATGATAAAGGACAGGGTAAAAGGTGCAGGCGCAGGGGCCAGGTAGGCATCAACACCGGTTTGCACTCAGAGGGACGTGGAAATCTGCAGAGCCCGCTGCTGAGCAGCTCCTTCAGCACATCCCGCTCCTACTTCACCAAGGTCTTACCTCCACAGAGATGCCTCGGGCACTGGGCCCCATTGTGACCGTGCCCACCTTCACTAGGAAGTCACAGTACTGGTAACGGGTGCCCCGGGTCTCAATCTTGCTGGCCTTGGCACTCTGGAAGAAGCCCTTGAGCTTCACCATGAGCACATCAAAGTTGGTGTCGGCAATAAGGCAAGGGCCATTCTCAAAGAGGGCGAAGCAGCTCAAAGGGTATTCTGAATTGTGCATCACATACATCAGCTTCCCAGTCTGACCTGCAGGGACAGAGACCCTACTCAGCATCAAGACCTCCTTCAGCAAACCCCAGAATAGAAGCAAATGCAGGGAACAAGGCCAGATGGCATTACCTAAGCAGTCTTGGGTGGGGGCGGGGGCTCCCCTTACCAAAAGCCTTTTCTAAAGAATAGCATGTGGTAAAATCTACCCGCTCTACAGAAAAAGGTGAGGGGCACACAGGGAATTCACTAGCGTTAATAACAGTTGAATTTTTAAGTTGAGGGATAGGGTCACAGATGGATGATGATAATGATTTACTCACAGAGACTTTACATATAGTCTTTTATATAATCACTAGAGGCCTGGTGCACAAATTCGTGCACGGGTGGGATCCAGCCCGCCCACCCCGATGGACCCAGTGAGCCGGGGCGGGGGAGACACGGGACATTGGCAGGTTGGCCCCGCCCCCATCAGGGTGGGGGAAGCCATCAGAGGCAGGGCCGGCAGGGGGAGGGGCCATGGGCGGTTGGTGGGCTGGTCCTGCCCCCTGGTCGAGCTCCCAGTGGAGGGGACAATTTGCATATTAGCCTTTTATTATATAGGTCACATAATAAGGAAGATGAAATAATAGCATTTCAGTATGCCAAATGAAGCAGACACTCTCTTCTGTCCACTCCTACCTTCCTTGGCCTCTCCCTCTTTGATATATAAGTGGCCCCAGAAACACAGCAAAGGGGAGTATCTGAGCATGAGGCTAGGAAGATAGACCAGAGCCAAGTGGTGCTACATCTTGTCTTCCATGCTCACGAAGCCTGGACTCCATTCTAAAGGCAATGGTGAAGCCTTGGGCAATTTTAAGACATCAGCAGACTTGGGAATATAGCATACACAACAGCAGAAAAGAACTCAGCATCTGGAATCAAAAGGTCTAGTTTTCTCATTGATTACTATAGATTTTCTGCAAGAAGGAAGCAAAGTTATATATATATTAGAGGCCTGGCACACAAATTTGTGCACTAGTGGTGTACCTTGGCCTGGCCTGTGGAATTGGGCTGAAACCGGCTCTCCAACATCCCCCGAGAGGTCCCGGATTGCGAGAGGGTGCAGGCCAGGCCGAGGGACCCCAACAGTGTATGATCGGGGCCAGGGAGGGACGCGGGAGGTTGGCCAGCTGGGGAGGGACCACAGGAGGGCTCCACAGCGAGTCCAGCCTGTCTCACTCAGTCCCAATCAGCCAGACCCCACAGTAGCAAGCTAACCTACTGGTTAAAGTGTCTGCCCCCTGGTGGTCAGTGCATGTCATAGCAAGCAGCTGAGTGGCCTTAGCATATCATTAGCTTTGGTTAAACAGACTACCAGACACACTTAGCATATTAGGCTTTTATTATATAGAATGTGTATATTTGTGTGTGTGTGTGTGTGTGTATTTGGTTAAGTGGAAAATGGAAGAAGGCAAATGGAAAGGAAGATTTTCTCTCTCATACATTACAAGAGTTAATGGATAAACTGCCACAATCTCAAATATTTATCTTTATTAAATACTTAAACTATTCCCAACACTGTCCTAGGGTTTAAGAAGCATACAAGTAGAGGACTTAGCCCCGGCCTCAAGAAGCTAATAAACTCACTAGGGATAGGTTAAAAACTTTAGGACCTGAACTAGGATACAAAGAGAGGGCAGGACTCGGCCACATGGAGAAGGAAAAAGACATTCTAGGCAGTGATGAGGGTGTAGCAATGGGAAAGAGAGAAGGGGGTGGGGGGAGCTGGGGCATTGTGACCTGTATATACGCCTCCACTCTGCTGCCACTTGCTGAACACAACAGGCTCTGCACAAACCTCCCTGCACATCCCTCCTGACTGCCTGTTGCCAGTTCCCACCTTTCACCTCCCAGCAAATCCACTTCAAATACTTCAACCCTCAAAAAGACATCCAAAGTTGATCTGTCATGTTCTTGTGCAAACTCACTGTAATAACATAATTCATATGAGTCTGCAAATATTCTTAGTCTTGAAAATATTCAGAAAGTCAACTAAGGTTTGTTTTTTAATGAAGAAGGCACTCCCAGTTGTTTATAGACAATACTACCTTTTTAACCACAGTGAAGTAGCTTCTTATCTGCACAAATGTGTGAAGTAAGCTGAACCAGTGTCACTGTCCCCCTTTTGCAGATGAGGAAAATTATGGGTCCCAGACCAGCAACAGCAGCAGCACCACCACGTGGAAGCTTGTTAGAAATGCAAATTATCCACCCCACCCCAGACCTACTGAGTCAGAAAGGCCCAGCAACCTGTGTTAACAAGCCTTCCAGGTGATGCTAATGCTGGTCAGTATGAGAACTTCGGATCTAAAGGCACAGAGCCAGCAGGCAGCAGAGCTGGAACTCCAATCAGGCTTTCTGACCTCAAATTTATTGCTCTTTCCATTCTACCCCACTGTCTGCCAAGAATGATGTCTCCCTAACTGGACTATAGTTCCTTAAAAACAAAGGTCTGATCAGGAGGAAAACAGCCCACACCAGGTAATTTCATAGAAGTAGTGTATCTGTATATATACAAAGCAGAGGCCCAGGGCATGAATTCATGCACCAGTGGGGTCCTTCGGCCTGGCCTGCAGGATCCGGCCGAAACGGGCTCTCCAACATCCCCCGAGGGGTCCCGGATTGCGAGAGGATGCAGGCCAGGCCGAGGGATCTCACCAGTGCACAATCAGGGCCAGGGAGGGATGTGGGAGGTTGGCCAGCCAGGGAGGGACCGCAGGAGGGCTCCAGGGCATGTCCAGCCTGTCTCCCTCAGTCCCAATCAGCCAGACTCCAGCAGCAAGCTAACCTACCAGTTGACTGTCTGCCCCGATAGTCAATGCACGTCATAGCAACTGATCGACCAGTCGACTGTCTGCCCCCTGGTGGTCAGTGCATGTCATAGCAAGTGGTTGAGTGGCCTTAGCATATCATTAGCATATTACGCTTTGATTGGTTGAACGGACGACTGGATGACTGTACACCTAGCATATTAGACTTTTATTATTCAGCAGGTCCTTGGGTTACATCGGAGATCCGTTCCTACTGCGCAACGTAACGCGATTTTCACCGTAAGTTGGAACCCACCTACATAAGCACCTACGTCACTCACATGGAGCTCATACACAGCAGTAATGAAGTGAAAGAGTAAAAAAAATTTAAAAGATAACAATTCCTGACCTTTACTTGTGGTAAATAAATAATAAAAAACATAAAGCACATATGTACGTAGTCGAAATGACGGAACTTTTTTTTTATAAATAAATGGGAGATGGCGACGTAACCACAAAAACGACGTAGGTCGAGTCCGACATAACCCGAGGACTGTCTGTATAGGACGTTTTATTTTCCAAATGCTTTCATAACCATTATATATCTTGATTCTTACGTCCTTCCTACTGAAGGCAAAACAATGGTTAACACTGCAATTTTACAGACGATGAAACTCAGTATAGCTCTTAGCTACCACTTATTAAAGGTTCATTACATGACAACCTCAGTTCTTGTGCTTTGCATGTATTAACTTATTTAACTAGCACAATAACGCCAGGAGGTAAGTACTACGCTTATCTTCATTTTACAGGTGAGAGAACTGTACTGGAAAGGATGCAAAAACAGAACCCTCACCAGACAGTTTCATTAGAGGGGATTTAATACAGGAAACAAAGTACAGGGGATAGAAAAACTAAAAAACCAAATGGAATGATGATGTCATCCAAAAATTAGCAACACACGGAGCCATTATCATCCCTGAGCCTGGAAGGAAATAGAGATGTGCTGTTATTAGAGCCATGAGCAAAGGCTGCCCAGCAGGAGTTAGAACCAAGGATACAGCCAGAGACACTGCCTAAAACAGAGGGAGAAACAAACTGTGGTCTCCCTTTCTCCTGTCCTCTGATCTTCCCCAATGCCTTTGGCAGGAGAAGTTCAGGGAATGGATCTATGGGGAAGTAGGAAAATTACCAGCATAGAAACTGTCACAGGTTGTGGGACTTACCTAAAGTGTGGTTAGTATGTGGCAGAGCTAGGATTCAGTTATCTGGTTCCATGTCTAGACTCTGAATCACTGTGCTATGGAACTGTCCAAGGAGAAGATACTGCAGAACCCAGGTTCCCTAACTCATATTCAAAGATCCTCTTTGCCTCCTTACCATCACCACCACCACCATCCACAGCCATCTCATCTCTTAATACACTTAATACAAAAGGTGATTCATCAGTCAAGGTTATGCTAACGAGATAGCCAAGGCCATTGTGCAGGTGTGGGAAACAGGAAGCCTTTCTGCAAAAAGTTCTAGAAACTCTAAAGCTCTATCAGAATCCTATACAAAAACGTCTGAGCTTAAAGGAGTCTTTCTCAAACTTAGAGCGCATAAAGGGGAGCGCGTTAAAATGCAGAGTATGAGGCCCACAACACCAGTCAGTCCGCAGCAGAGCCAGGAAACTGCACCTTAACAAGTAGCCCAGGTGATTTTGATGAAGTTAGTAAGCAACCCTCTGAGAAACACTGCTTAAAAGTGCAAAGTGCAAAAAGACTAAAACATGGGCCAGGTTTCAGAGATGAAGGATCAAGAATTAATGAATTCAGCCCTAACTGGTTTGGCTCAGTGGCTAGAGCAGCCGTGGGCAAACTACGGCCCGCGGGCCGGATCCGGCCCGTTTGAAATGAATAAAACTAAAAAAAAAAAAGACCGTACCCTTTTATGTAATGATGTTTACTTTGAATTTATATTAGTTCACACAAACACTCCATCCATGCTTTTGTTCCGGCCCTCCGGTCCAGTTTAAGAACCCATTGTGGCCCTCGAGTCAAAAAGTTTGCCCACCCCTGGGCTAGAGCATAGGTCTGCTGACTGAAGGGTCCCAGGTTCGATTCTGGTCAAGGGTACATGTCTGGGTTGCGGGCTTGATCCCCAGTAGGGGGCATGCAGAAGGCAGCCAATCAATGATTCCCTCTCATCATTGATGTTTCTCTCTTTTTCTCCCTCTCCCTTCCTCTCTGAAATCAATAAAAAATATACTAAAAAAAAATCTAAATGCACAGCATTAAAAAAAAAGAATTAATGAATTCAGAAACACATCTGCCACATGTTCAAGACTATCACTCTTAAAAGAGCAGGAAGATTTCAGTGAACATAAATGTCTATCGACTCCAAGCCAGGATGCAGCCATCCCACAGACGCATCTCACTAACCTTGGCTGCCAAGGGTAGAAGCAGCCGTGTGATAGGTCTCACAGTCTACACAAAATGTTCCTTGCTTCTCTGCCCCGAGCACCTCCAACTTCCGGGTGAGGAGCTCCACGGTCTGCTGGACACTCTTGCCCTCAGCCACAGGCATCTGGGACACACTGGAAGGGAATGAATCAAATCGTCAATATCCAGAGACATGGGCGCTGGCTGAGCCACTCTATCACCCACAGAATCACAGCTCATCAGGACCATAGAGACCACCTACCGGGACCCCTTTATTTTAAAGATGCATTTTTTTTATATTCATAAACGTATAGTTTTATTCTCTTTCTGTACATATTGCCAATGGTAAAGCTTAAAGACGCATGTCCTATGAAATAGGCAAAAACAAGGAATTTACATAAATAATTTATACTTCAGAAAATTAAAGTTGAAAAATATTTTCCACATCATTAGCGTTCACAGTATTTAAAGTAAATCAAGCTTTCCCCTTTAGATTTCCAACTACACTGTCTCAGCTGAGAAGGATAAATCTGACCAGGAGCTCAAGGATCAAGCCTGGTTTTGTTCAGATGCAGAACTAGAGTCCTACAGTCCCTAAGAACACAGATCTCATGATTCTCTCACAAGAGCGCAGCGAACTTCCTATCACACCAGAATTCCCTAAGCATGGCATGTGTGCCAACATCCAAGAGAAGATTTTAGGTGGCACCCCGACTGAACACTTGACAACACTGTGTCATGTAATGTTTCCTTCACAATTATTTCAGTTCTGACGATATCAAGGAGATAGCCTTAATTTGGGGTATGTTTTTCCCAACTCTTAACACTCTGAATGTGTGCTGTCCAGTACAGTAGCCACAAGCCACATGTGGCCATTTACATTTAAACAAGAATGTAATCCAAGCAATGAAACAAAACAATGTTATTTCCAAGACTTCCTTCCATGCTGAGTAAAACCAGCTTCCCCTTTAGAGTGGCAGTTAACAGTCACCAAGCCCCAACTATGTGCCAGACAGTGTCCAAAAGCCTTGAGATAAATAAACTCTTTGAATCCTCACAATAGCCCTAGCTGTGCTATTATTTATCTCCTTATTACAAATGAGGAAACTGAAATACAGAGGGGTTGACTTGCATAAGGTCATACAGCTTGGTGTAGTGTAGCCAAGATTCAAAATCAGGCAAACTGGCTCTATATCTGTGCCCTTAACTACTACAGTAGACTACTTCCCTAGCGATATAGTTAAAATACTTCCAAGAAATAGATTTAAAAGAAAACATTAACGAATACTACTACACTGGAAGGAGAGAATCAAATCGTCAGTATCCAGAGACATGGGCACTAGTTATATAAAAATCAGAAAAGACAGACATTTGTGACTGAATTTAGGGAGACACTGCATTAATCAGCCAAATGAAGCTATAAAGGTAGAGTCCTCCTTGTTGCTAAAAATTGTCACTACTCTCCATCAAAAAAGCACTAATAAAGGAATGATGATGATGTACCTTATGTTGAAACAGAAGCACATTCCTAAAATGATGCTACTGGGGTGAGAAGTGCGAGGAGTCTGAAAACGTTGATAAGGGTCCTAACAGAGAGCCCTTACCCTCGGCCTGCCTCCTCTATTGAAAGAACAGGGACTTCCAGGGTTCCAAGCTTCTGAGCCGCAAACTTGCCATGGCCATCGCCCACACATCTCCCTTACCCTAGGACAGTGATCGGCAAACCGCGGCTCTCGAGCCACATGCGACTCTTTGGCCCCTTGAGTGTGGCTCTTCCACAAAATACCACGTGTGGGCACGCACGTACAGTGCGAAGTTGACTTAAAACTTTAAGTAAAGTTTATTAAGTTAATTTTAGGGAACGCTGTGGAGTGAAAGAAGATGTAGTGTCGAGGATTGAGAAAGGTATGTTGAGATGGTTTGGACATATAGAGAGGATGAATGAAAGGAGATAGACGAAACAAGTATACAAGACAAGTGTGGATGGGAGAGTTGAAAGGGGTCGACCTCAGCGAAGGTACCTCAATCAGATTGAGGACGTTTTTAGCAAAGGCCAGCTTAGGAGTACCCTAATTGAGTTAATACCTACCTATATAGTTTAAGTTTAAAAAATTTGGCTCTCAAAAGAAATTTCAATCGTTGTACTGTTGATATTTGGCTCTGTTGACTAATGAGTTTGCCGACCACTGCCCTAGGGGTCAGAGGAGGCTCATGATGCCAAATGCAGTAAACAAAAACGCAATCACTGACAAACTGGCAAGAGCCGGGGCTTCCAGGAGTTTCCACAGGCTGTGACCCGGGAAGCCTACAGTCAATGACTTGGGATAGCCTGGCCTCCAGTCCTCTCTGATTGGAAATGCTTACACTTACTGCTGTTTAAAAAAGAAAGGAAAAAAAAAAGGCTCTGAAATCTAGCATTTTGGAACTAATGACTCCAAGGGCATCAGACCCATATCTTTCCCTATCACCCCGACTTATTTTATAATGAGTTAGAGATTTTAAAAGTCCACAGAAACAACACAAATCATGTAGAAAACAGGTCCTGAAGAAGTGATGTGCCCAGAACCCAAATCTCCTAATTCCCAATAGCTCCCCGCCCCGCCCCCCGCAAACCCAAGACCTTAAAATGGTCAAACTAGATACTTGACTTAGACTGGTCTAACTACATTTAGTGGCTGGAAGGAGAGACGGGTGAAAACCTAAAAAAAAGCTACTGTCCCTCTCTGCCTGTCCCAGACCCCTCTAGCCCTGCCTGCTGATGAGTTCTAGCCACACATCCTCCCTCCGACCACCAAGTCCCACCCTGGCCTCACCGGCGGGAAGCTGTGCCAAGAAAACGGGAAGGAGGCACCCAACCATGGACGGTTCCAGGGACAAAACCCAGGAGGAAGGGGGCGCATCCCCCAGGAACCAGGCCCAGGGACTCCACAGCCCTCGCGGGGTCCCCCTCACCCACACAACCCGAGGACCTCGCGCCAGACTCCCGAGGGACCGCAGACCCGGGTCCCGACCCTCCCCCAGGGTTCATTCCGGACTCCGAGGGCCCTTCGCGACCCCAAGTCCCGCCCACAGTATCCCCTGCAGCCCTACCAGGTCACTCCCATGATGTCGGACCAGGAGGATGGCAGGACCAAAGAGTCGAATCGCAGAGTTCTCCGGCCACGCACAGTTAGTGAAGGCGCCCTAAGGCCAGTTCTGGTGGAGGGAGGGATTCCGGAAGTGACGTAAAAACAGAGCGCCCAGTCGACGCACCGCGAGGAGTAGGGGCGTGTCTAGGCACCCCCTCGTTGACATCTTCGTTGGTATCCCTGCCCGGCTGCTGCCCCCAGGCTTCCATCACCCTGGGCCTAGAATAGATCCTCAAAGGTTGGAGGAGACAACGTTAAAGGCACAGAGTTTATTGGGGAGTCTGGCTCCAGGACCCGCGAGTTCTCAGCAGGTGGGGCGGCGCGGATGGCGCTCCTGGCCTCCGAGCGGTAGGGGGCGCTGTGCATCGGTGTGGCCTCTGGGGAACGGGGCGCACACAGCGCAGACGCACTCGTGACTGCTTCTGCGTCTCCACGTGTGAACTTTCCCGGCACCTTTTTGAGAAAAATGCCCAAATTCAAGGCGGCCCGCGGGGCCGGGGGCCAGGAAAAACACGCTCCCCTTGCCGAGCAGATTCTGGCCGGGGACGCGGTGCGGGCAGGGGCCCGGGAGAAGCGGCGCGGTCGCGGGACCCAAGAGGAGGAAGAAGAGTATGTGGGGCCCCGGCTGAGCCGACGGATTTTGCAGCAAGCGCGGCAGCAGCAGGAGGAGCTCGAGGCCGAGCATGGGACTGGGAGCCGGTCCGCGGCGCCGCGGGAGCGCATCACGCGGCTGGGTGAGCGGTGGGGATGGGTGCGAGGAAGGAGGAGGTTAGGAGAGGATGGACGGGCATCGGGCCGGGGAATAGCTGGGGATAAAAAGGGTCCGTGGTGCTCCCCTTACAAAGGTACTGTAATGGGAGACTCGGCCCTGGAGCGGGTTTAGGAGAGTCAGAGCCCTCCACACCCACTACTAGTTTTAGGCCCTCTCTTCCAGGTACCCCTGAAGTTAGGAAGCAGGAAGTGGTTGCTGACACCACTAGGTTCTCCTAGTGTTTATCCATCCATCTGTTCTGTAAATACCTATGGGATGTCTACTAGTGCTTCGTACTGTGCTAGGAGTCCAGAAGGTTTGGCTAAAGAGGTAAACAAGGTAGACATGCGCCTGGCTTCAGGATGTTAGAGTCTAGCCCAGGAGAGAGCAGGCAATAGACAATGAGAATAATACATTCCATGGTAAAGTATAATAGATTCTCTGATGACAACGGCATTGATCTTGGGGGTCGAGCTCCCCAGATTGCATAACCTTTGTGCTGAGACCTGAAAAACGAGTGAGGAGTGCCCTGAGCAGAAAGAACAATATTGTTTAGGGGCCAAAGAGGGACAGGGGGTAAGTAAAAGATGATCAACACTTTCTTAGGGTGGGCGTGTTGACCTTCCTATCCAGTTCTCAGATCTCTTTCCTTTGTCCTGACACAATTGAACATTGGCCTCCTGGCTGTAGTATCTTTACTTGGCTTCTAAGACATCGCATTCCTGTGTTACTACTTACCTCTCAGTAGCCTTTGCTGGCTCCCTTTTGATCCCCAACCTCTTTTTTTTTAAAATATATTTTTATTGATTTCAGAGATGAAGGGAGAGGGAGAGAGCGATAGAAACATCAGTGATGAGAGAGAATCATTAATTGGCTGCCGCTTGCAGGCCCCCTACTGGGGATCAAGCCCATAACCCAGGCATGTGCCCTGACAGGAATCGAACCCTGACCTCCTGGTTCATAGGTCGACACTCCACCACTGAGCCACACTGGCCAAGTGATTCCCCAACTTCTTATTGAAGTGCCACAGGGTTCAGTCTTTGGACCTCTTCTCTTCACACACTTCTCTGGTGTTGCCATCAGTTTCATGGTTTAAACGCCATCTATTTGGTGACCGCTCTTAACTTTATATTCTAGCCTTGATTTCTCCCATGAAACCTACATTGTTCAGTTGCCTATTTGAAGTCTAATAGACATCTCAAATTTAACATGTCCAAAATAGACCTTCTTGCCAAACCTGCCCCTCCAACATCTTCCTCATCTCAGTTAATAGCACGATATCTTTGTATTTGTTTAAGACAGAAACCTTGGACTCCTCTCTTTCTCATTCCACATCTGATCTATTGGGAAATCCTGTTGACTCTGCCTTCAAAATACATCCAGAATCAGACCACTTCTCACCACCTGCGAACACCATCCTCTGCAAGCCACCACGATCTCTCTCGCCTGGATTATTACAGTAGTCTCCTCATTAATATCCCATACCCCCTACAGTCCACTCTCAACTCAACAGCTAGAGAATTACAGTGGTTTGCAAAGCCCTATATAATCGGCTTCCATTGCCACTCCGACTTCTACTTTTCCCTTTTCACTCCACCCATATCGGCTTCAACATGGTAAGTTAGGGCCTTTGCCCTGGTGGCTCCTTCTGTCCTCATACACCTGTAGGCATACTCTCTCCATTCTTCACCTTCTCAGGCCTGTTATGCAAAGAGCTGAGATCCGAGGAAAATAACCCAGAAGACCGGCTGTGAAAGACATGGGTTTATGAGGACTTACTGTGCACGGTGGCGGCCCACTGGTGAAGTTTTTCCCCAGCACAGGGTTGTATAGGATACAGAGAACAGGGCATGCAGGAGAGACGTGCTCAAGCGCAAGCTCTGTAAGATCAAAACACTAATAGTTTACAATCGGGCTCACATCCAAGATCAGTTTCTGTTTGGCTGTCCAGGCTCCCAAGGTTGCTCCCACAGTCCGTTTACAGGTGGCCTTCATCATATTCCCACAGGGTCAGAGTGGGGAGTTGGAGCTTGGGAAGGGGCCCAGGTTCTCACATACCACACACCTTCATTAAAAATTGCAACACCCCCACCCTGGCCTGGTGGCTCAGTTGGTTGGAGCATAGCATTGTTCCATATACCAAAAGGTTACAGGTTCAATTCCTAGTCAGGGCACATACCTCGGTTGTGGGTTTGGATCTGGTTGGGCTGGGTACCAGAGGCAACTGATCAATGTTTCTCTCTTGCATTGATGTTTCTCTCTCCCCTTGTTTCTTCTCTCTCTAAAATCAATGGAGGGCATGTCCTCCGGTGAGGATTAAAAGGAAAAAAGAGAGAAAATTTCAACACCCCACCCCTATCTTTACAGTCCCAACCTCTCTGTTCTGCCCTATTGCTTTTTTTCATAGCGTTCGTCTTTTAACCTATCATGTTATATTTATTGTCTGTCTTCCCTGACTAGAGTATAGGCAAAAGATTTTGCCTATAAGGGCAAAAGATTTTGTTTCTCTCGTTCATTAGTATAGTTCCAGCACCCAGAACAGTGCATCACATATACTAGGCACTCAGTGTTTGCTGAATGAATAGATTAATGAATGATGGTGAGATGGGTAGGAACCAAATCTGCAAAAGACTTGGAGGCTGTGCCCAGGATTTAAAGCTGTCATAAAGACAATGAAAAACTATTGGAGAATATAGAGACCAGTTAGGGGACTGTTTAATTAATCCAGGCAAGAAATGATGCTGATCTAGGCTTAGACAGCTGTGAAGTGTTTGAAATATTCTATGAGGCAGAATTGAATAGGCTTTAGTCATTGAGTGTTGGGAATGAGGCGGGCCTGCCTCCCAGGTTCCGGCTTAGCATGGGGTGGACGGTGGTGCTATGTACTTAGATATAGAACACAGTGAGTAAGTAGTATAGGCCTAGGAGGAAAAGAGAGTGAGTTTGGTTGATACAGGTGAAGTTTGAAGTTCTTGTGAAGAGCAACTGTACAGGTGGCAGCTGGAGTTATGGTCTGGAGTGAAGGGGCATCTACCTCCAAGTATAGGCTTGGGGGTTGTTAGCATGTGGAGACAAAACACCTTCGCCACACCACCACCACCATTTAGCTTTTATCACACACTTCCTTTGTTAATAACCTGTTCATATGCAGCATTTCATCCTGGATTGGAGTATGGCATCCCTTACCAGATGCCCAATCAGCTGTAGCCTTCCAGTAATCAGTTCTTCAATGGGTTGGCCCATTGAAGTCTGAACTACACTGCCTGGCCTCGAGGCTTCCCACAGTCTGGGTTCACTTTACCCATCCAGCCATATTTCTTGCTGCTGCTTAACAGACAATCTTGTAAAAGCCCTTTTGCCAGTATTGTATTGGACCACACTCCAGCTGCACCCATGCTCCCTATCCAGACTCTAACCATCGTCGGCACTCATCATCTTCTAAATTGCCTATGGTATATACTGTCTCTACCACTCATTTGGCATATGATCAAGCCCATCCATGTGTGTAGAATATGGGTAAAGAATGCACAATCTAGGCCCAGACTACATGCCACAGGCAAATTACTTAACTTTTCTTGTGCTTTAGTGTTCCCATCTGAAACTGGGTATACTAATAAGACCTACTTCTTGGGGTTGTGAGTATTATGTACAGTATTTAGAACAGTTCCTGCTACATGACTGAGTATAATGTGTTAACTATGATATGTTGGCATCACTGTGTCATTGGTTCACATATGTGCATTTTGTTTCTCAAGCAGGATTGTAAGCCCCTGGTACAGGAAGATAGTGTGTGCACCACTGTTTCACTGCACACATCCATCTATCACAAGCACACGTGAGGCTTACACTGCCCATGGTGGTTAAAGTTAAATTGACCTCTAAATCCCTCACCCACCGCTTGCCTTTCTCATCCATTTCATCTCCCCTCTTCTAGGTCCAGGAGTGCCGCAAGATGGATCAGATGACGAGGATGAAGAGTGGCCCACCCTGGAGAAGGCTGCCACAATGACAGGGGCCGGCCACCATGCAGAGGTGGTTGTGGACCCTGAGGATGAGCGTGCCATTGAGATGTTCATGAATAAAAACCCTCCTGTCAGGTAGGGCTGACATGGCCTAGAATTTGGGGTAGTGGGTCCTGGTAGCCACTTCCCACAAGGAAGCAAATGCTCTGGCAGAGTTTTGATGCCCTACCCTTGGGAAGGGCCTGAGCGTTGCTAGTTGTAGGGATCCACCTTAACAAAAGTGGCCCATCCTCAGACGACCATTCTGAGTGAGAATGATACAGACTCAAAATATCTCCTCCCCCTCTGTCCACCTGTTCTAGAACTGCTCAGATTACCTGGGGAAACAGCTACCTGACCTTTTTATGTTTCTAGGGAGCTGTATTCCATTGCATTTGGTCTTGGCATACTCTAGGGGTAAGCTCAGTTTCCTTGGCCAAATCTCTTTTGTACCCTAAGCTTCATTTTATTCAAGGTTTTTCAGCCTTAGCACTATTGGCTGGATAATTTTTTTGTGTGGAGGCTGACCTGTGCAATGTAGACTGTTTAGCAGCATCGCTGACCTCTACTCCCTAGATGCCAGGAGTGACCTTCCCACCAATTGTGATAACCAAAAAGGTCTCGGGCATTGCCAGATGTCTCAGGCATTGCAGATTCGCCCCCACTTAGAACCACTGATTTATGCCCATCTGTAATAAATGCTACTCCAGATGATGTCTGCATTTGAGCTCCTGTAGTCAAACCCCTGAGCATGTGGATTTTGGCCCAGGAGAGGGGAATCTAGCAGAACGCCCTCAACCAGTCCATTCTGATCCTGTGACATTAACATGACGTTGTCCTTGGTTCTGCGGGCTACTTTGGGTTAATGCATCCCTCATTGCTAATAATACTGTGAAAACACAGGGAGGCTGAATGATAAGGTCTGTGGTAGTTTATTTGAGAGCACAGAACAAAGGGATGAGTTCCTCCTTCAGATTGATACCCGGCAACTGAAATAGATGTCACAGAGTGTGTGCTTGGACTCGTGTGCTTGTCCCACCAGAGAGCCTCTCCGTGCCTTATAACTCCTCTTTCACCGATCGTTCTGACGGACCTGGCAGAATGGTTTTCCAGCTTGCAGTAAATGGAAGAGTGAAGCTACTAGAAACAGTGACTCCTGGCAGTTTTGAGAAATGACAGCTGGCATCTTCAGAAAGCAGGCCCAGACCCACATGAGCTCAGCAATCAGAGGCTGTTTAGTTTGGAGGCACGTTACCGTGTGCTGTAAAGTACCTGAACTTTAGAACCTGAGCAACGGGGCTTGACTCTTCCCCCCACTTGAGAACTCTGAGACCTTGGGTGCGTGTTAACCTGTCTGAGTATCAGTTCCCATGTTGAATAAGGCGAATGACACCCAGTGTAGGTGTTGCACGGACTGTCTAAGACAACGTCTGAGAAATCCTGTGCTCAGTGCCTGGCCTTGAGAAGACCCTTAGTTTTAAATATACGTTAGCCTCTGGAGATACCATTCTTATACCAAAGCCCAATGTAAGGAGGATTATGAGTCATCACACTAAAGTTACGTTAGATACACTGTTTAATGAGGGAAAAATATTATTGTGCCCTGGTCTTTTCCCAAATTATCCCAGCTACTTGAAATCTTGGTATATAACTAAGAGGTCAGACCAGTATTTTATAATTGGAGAGACTTCAGCATGTAAGGGATGTGTCTGAAATTGGCAACACATTACACGTTTTCCATGTACTGATAGTTCCAAGTAACGTACATGTATTAATTCGCTTAATCCTGACGTTAACTTTATGAGGTAGATACAGTTATTACCCCTTTTACAGATGAGAAAACTGAAGCATAGAGAGGCAAAGTAGCAGGCCCAGGGTTATACAGATAGTGGAAAAGCCAGGATTTAAACCCAGGCAGACTGACTTCAGCGTCCGGGTTCTTAACCTCCACACGTTTGTCTGCTTCATCCCAAGTTGAATGACTTTCAGGTCGTTTGTGCTCTGCAGTGATTCCATGGTGGGTCCGGCCCAGAGGGGAACTGAGGTCGCACATCCCAGCAAGATGACAGGTTTATTGAAGCTCATAAGAAACTGTGTGTGGAGTCTAGAGCTTCCTGGACTGTGACCACAGCACTCCCGCCCCTTCCTTCCCCTCTCCCCTGCACCCCACTCCCAACTCTTAGGCGTACCCTGGCTGACATCATCATGGAGAAGCTGACTGAGAAGCAGACGGAAGTTGAGACAGTCATGTCCGAGGTGACAGGATTCCCTATGCCCCAACTGGACCCCCGGGTCCTAGAGGTCTACAGAGGAGTCCGGGAGGTAAGAGCTGGAATACCTTCACAGGGGCTGTGGGCTCCCACCTAAGGCTTTGGGTGCCCACCTCTCATACACAGAAGGCCTGGTGGCCAAGAACAGTCTTAAGTCAGAGTGTATGGGTTCAGAGTCCTGCTGCACCACTTAGTGACTTGGTGACTGTGGGTAAGATCTCCGTGTCCCCATCTGGAAAATGAGGATGATAATAGCATCTCTGTATGTGGTGGTTGTGAGGATTCAGTGAGTGAACATATGAAAAGCCCCCGGACAAGTACCTGGCACTCGGCAAGCAGGATGTGTGTTCTTGGCAACGATGGTACTACTCCCTCATCCCCAGGTGTTATCCAAGTACCGCAGTGGGAAGCTGCCCAAGGCATTTAAGATCATCCCTGCACTCTCCAACTGGGAGCAGATCCTCTATGTCACAGAGCCTGAGGCCTGGACCGCTGCTGCAATGTACCAAGCCACAAGGTAGAGTGGATGGGAGTTAGAGTGGCCTTAGGTCTATAGGTAAAGGGCTGGGGGCATGGGAAGTACAGGTTTTCCTGGTCTTTGCCATTACTTTTTCTTTCTCTATATTTTTATTTTATGTATTTATTTTTATTGGTTTCAGAGAGGAAGGGAGAGAGAGAGAGAGAGAGAAACATCAATGATAAGAGAATCATTGATTAGCTGCCTCCACACACCCCTTACTGAGGATCGAGCCTGCAACCCGGCCATGTGCCCTTGACTGGAATGGAACCCAGGATCCTTCAGTCTGCAGGCTGATGCTCCATCCACTGAGCCAAACCGGCTAGGGCTGCCATTACATTTTTTTAAAAATATTTTTTATTGAGAGAGAAAGGGAGAGGGAGACAGAGAAACATTGGCTGCCTCCCACAGGCCCCCCGCCCCCCACACTGGCGATCGAGCCCGCAACCAGGGCATGCGCCCTGACTGGGAATAGAACCAGCAGCCCTTTGGTGCATGGGATGACGCCCAACCAACGGAGCCTCACCAGCCAGGGCTGCCATTACATTTTAACTTTGCCCCAGAGCTCTCTCTTGTGCTTCTTTATATCATCATTTTCCCGTTTCATGTTTTGGGGCCAAGACCCTGTTGAAAATCGCCTGTGATGAGTTTTTAGGGAAGAGGCTTATAACTACTGGGCTACCACCCTGGGGTGTCCTCAGGCCTCAGAAGTCTGTGGCTCCCCACACGTGCTCAGGTCCCTCAAAGAGTAGGGTAGAGAAGGCCCACGATGGGGAGAGGAAGATGAATAGCTGAGTTGCCATTGGTTTGGGAGCACTCTGGCTCTCTCGGTGTTCACCTGTTTGGATGCATCTTGTAGACCTCCTGTTCCCTCCTATCTGATTTGGGTGTTGCATGCACATAGTTCACACGCCCCTCAGATCTTTTGCATGCACCATCCACAGTGATATTTAAAGGGCCAGCTCCAGGCTGTCAAGTGACCTGGGATGTCCCTGCTACCCCCCCCCAAAAAAACTAGGATTTTCTCATCTAACCTGAAGGAACGCATGGCTCAGCGCTTCTACAACCTTGTCTTGCTCCCCCGAGTACGAGATGATATTGCTGAATACAAACGACTCAATTTCCACCTCTACATGGCACTCAAGAAGGCCCTTTTCAAGCCTGGAGCCTGGTTTAAAGGTGAGAACCCAGGAGGCAGTTAGGAAAGGGAGGGGCTGGAGCTCCTGCAGGTGATAGCAGTAAGCAGGACTTGGGAGATGGCTGGCTCTGTGGTAGGTGGGGGTGCTTCCTGCTTTGCATCCTTTCTCTCACCCTCAGCTCAGAGTGACTGCCCCTCTGACCCTCCCCAGGGATCCTCATCCCACTGTGTGAGTCGGGCACCTGTACCCTCCGGGAAGCCATCATCGTGGGTAGCATCATCACCAAATGCTCCATTCCTGTGCTGCACTCCAGGTAGTGTTCCCACTCCGGGGGAAAAGATGACTGATCAGTGGAATCACCAGGACTTGGAGTTGGTGGGGGTACAGAGTGGAGAAGGAGCTGAGAATACCGTAGCCCTGATTTTGTGGCTTAAGCCACTAGGTAGATCATTCCTCCACTAGATTGTAATTCCATAAGAACAGGGTCCCAGTCCTGGCACTTGGTAGGTGCTCAGTAAATAGTTGAAGGAATGAATAGGGAACATGGGAGGGAAATAGGTCAGGGGTGGAGATGTTGAGGTATTTGAACATACTCTAGTTGGATACTGAGTGAGACAAGCACTCTGAGCCAGGAGTAGGGATTTGGGATGAATCAGCATCCCAATTAGAGATGATAACTGGAGTGCGGGGGGAGGAGGATCAAGACTGCACAGGTGCTCTAGCCGGTTTGGTTTGGCCCAGTGGATAGAGCGTTGGCCTGCCCACTGAAGCATCCCAGGTTTAATTCCGGCCAAGGGCACATCCTGGGTTGTGGGATTGATCCCCAGCAGGGGGCGTGCAGGAGGCAGGTGATCAGTAATTCACTCTCATCATTGATGTTTCTATCTCTCTATCCCTCTCCCTCTCTGAAATCAATAAAAGTGTTTAAAAAAAAGTTAAAAAAATAAAATTACTTGAAAAAAGACTGCACTGCATAGGTGAGAAGGCCTGAGATGGCCCTTGTAGGCGTACCACAGTGTAAGGGCCAGTGGAGGAGAAGAGGGGGAAAGCACAGAGGGAGAGGTAGGCCCTCTCCCCCAACATTTCCCCACCACTGACTCCACCCATCTCCCCACCAGCGCGGCCATGCTGAAAATTGCTGAGATGGACTACAGCGGTGCCAACAGCATCTTCCTGCGGCTGCTGCTGGATAAGAAGTACGCACTGCCCTACAGGGTGCTGGATGCTCTGGTCTTCCACTTCCTGGGGTTCCGGACGGAGAAGCGTGAACTGCCCGTGCTCTGGCACCAGTGCCTCCTGACTTTGGCCCAGCGCTATAAGGCAGACCTGGCCATGGAGCAGAAAGAGGCCCTCCTGGAACTGCTCCGGCTGCAGCCCCATCCCCAGCTGTCCCCTGAGATCAGACGTGAGCTTCAGAGCGCAGTGCCCCGAGATGTGGAAGATGTTCCCATCACCATGGACTGAGGAAACAGCCACTCATCCTGGTCTGAGGGGTGTGGGAGGACACCAGGATCCCAGTTAAGGTGACACTGAGCCTTTACAACTGGGCAGTGAGAGCTCCTGGGCATCTGGGACCCCCCGGTACCCTGCAGGGCGGACCGAGGGTCAGGCCATTGTTGCTGCTCAGTTCTGGAACCTGTTTGAGATCCACACCCCAGGATTCCCACTGCCCTGCTGGGGCTTCGAGTTCTTTCTCCCAGGCTATGTCAATCCCTGGGATGTGGATGAAAAGGCGGGTATTTATTGAGCGTCTGTGTTTTATTGTGATCAATGCAGATCTTTCTGTTTTCCCTCTTTATCTAAAGGTAGGGATTACTCTTCCCTGTTCCTGCCTAGGAGTGGATTCTTACCCAGTATACTGAGGACCCCCACCCCTATCCTAACTCTCCAAGCTCGTTCCTCCAGGCTATACCCAGAGTTAGCCCCTAGGGGGCTCGTCTCTGCCTTTCCCCAATACAGGCTGCTTTGGGAGAATGCCAGGAACCAGGAGGTTGTTCAAAAGAAGGTCTGTCTCAGCTGTGGGTGGAAGAGCTAGAGGAGAGAGCCCCTAGAGCCGTGGTCGGCAAACTGCGGCTCTCGAGCCACATGCGGCTCTTTGGCCAAGCCTTAGGAGTACCCTAATTAAGTTAATAACAATGTACTTACCTAACAATGTACCTACCTATATAGTTTAAGTAGAAATTTCAATCGTACTGTTCATATTTGGCTCTGTTGACTAATGAGTGCCGACCACTGCCCTAGAGCAAGCATATCAAACTCAAAGGCTGACATGGGCCAAATAAAGTAGGCCTGCTGCCTACGAGCCACGAGTTTGACATGCTTGCCCTAGAGGGAAGTGGAAATGCAAAGACCAGACAGATCAGAGAATATTGGTTGTGCCCAGGATAGTTAGAGCTGGATCACCACCAGACAAGTTCCCTTTCTGGCTAATGAGAGCATTAGACTGGAGGTTGGCAAACTAGGGTCATATGCCCATTTTCTTATGCCCATGAACTAAGAATGGTGTTTCCATTTTTTAATGGATGGGAAAATTTTTTTAAAGAGTATTTTATGGTAGGTGAAAATGATGTGAAATTCAAATTCCAGTGTCCATAGTTTTATTGGAACACAGCCACTCCCATCTATTTACATGTTTCCCATGGCTGCTTTCATGCTGCAATAGCAGAGTACAATCCTGGAACCCTTGTTTGCCTTTGAAAATGTGTCTTTGTTCCAACCCAGTTAATATATTTGGGAACAATTTTATCATAAAACGAATAGCACATTTATTTATATGCAGTTTTGTCCTTGAGAAACAACACATAAAATCAGAAAACTGCACCAAGCTGAACCAAGCCAGATACACAAGTGCAAGCACCTCTGACATGTGGGTTGGGAGTCACATCCTCCCAACCTCTGCTTCCACAAGCGAACTTCAGGTGTTTTTGAAGATAAAGGACTATGTTATATTTGTGTTTCTTAACCATATAGTATATAAAAACTATGCTATCCTTTTTTAAAAAAAACATATTTTTATTGATTTCAGAGAGGAAGAGAGAGAGAGAAACATCAATGATGAGAGAATCATTGATTGGCTGCCTCCTGCATGCCCCAGACTGGGGATCAAACCTGCAACCCAGGCATGTGCCCTGACCAGGAATTGAACCATGACCTCCTGGTTCATAGGTCCACGCTCAACCACTGAACCAAGGCAGCCAGGCCCCTCTTTTTTTTTTTTTTTTAAATATATTTTATTGATTTTTTTAGAGAGGGAGAGGGATAGTGAGAAACATCGATTCAACCGCCTCTTGCACGCCCCCTACTGGGGATGTGCCAGCAACCGGGATACATGCCCTTGACCAGAATCGAACCTGAGACCCTTCAGTCCGCTCTGTCCACTGAGCCAAACCGGTTAGGGCTGGCCCCTCTTTTTTAAAAAACATGTCACTCGCCCCAGCTGGTTTGGCTCAGTGGATGGAGCGTTGGCCTGCGGACTGAAAGGTCCCAGGTTTGATTCCGGTCAAGGGCATGTACCTTGGTTGCGGGCACATCCCCAGTGGGGGGTGTGCAGGAGGCAGCTGAGCGATGTTTCTCTCTCATCGATGTTTCTGGCTCTCTATCCCTCTCCCTTCCTCTCTGTAAAGAATCAATAAAATATATTTTGAAGAAATAAAAAACATGTCACTCAACCCTGCTGTGTGATTGTGCATAGATCCATGAACCATGTGGGTCGGATCAGGGTTGTGGGCTTGATCCCCAGTAGAGGGCATATAGGAGGCAGCCATAGATTATTCTCCCATCATTGATGTTTGTATCTCTCCCTCTGAAATCAATATTTTTTTAAAAAACATATCGCTCATTAAGTTTTTGCATGTTGTGCCCATACATAAGTCCTATGGATTTTATTAGGCAGTTTTGCAAAGTACAATGATTTTTAGGAACGCACACATTCCATTATAAAGTAGCACTGACTCTGTGGGACAGAGATGATAGCTCGCAGGCCTAAAATATTTACTCAGGCCCTTTACGTAACAGGCTTGATGGACCACTGATGGAACCACCGATTTCTGCCCCCTTTACCTCATGCTTTTACCCACACCTCCATCCAATCCAAGAAGCCAAGGCCAACTTTATTCCAGAATCTTTATTAAGGTAGCATATGATGGTCCTGGGCCAGCAACTGGACCTTGTGGCCTAGGGAAAGGCCTGTTAACAGGGCTTGCATCTTCAGACAGCGGGCTTGGTCACCTCCGGGTCACCCCTGCTCCATCCCCTGATGCAGGACGGGGCCGAGGGCCAAAGGGAGAGGAGGGCCTGGCCCCTCCCAGGCCGTAGCAGCTCCTTGGTCACAAGGATCCTCTAGCCAGTAGCAGAGGAGGGATGCAGCAACCGCCAGGGCCACCACCACTTGGGCCGGTGGGCCCCACCACACCCTCTTACAGTTGTACTCAACACAATTAATAAATTAAAACCACCTCTTCCTTCAGCACTGACCCCCCTCAATCACAGGAGAAACTGGGCAGAAAGCGAAGCAAGGAGGAACTGGTTGATTCTTGAACCTCTGACAGAGGCCTGGGCCCCCCTCCCTCTAGGAGCAGCTGTGAGCACGGATTATGCAGGGCTCTCCAAAGTATGTTGAGAAGAGCTGTCCAGACTGTGTCCCCTCAGAATATCAGAAATTTCTTCAGAAAGACCCCAATCCAAATGCAGTAACTCTAGAAGGGGCAGCACCTTTGTAAGGCACCAGGGCATTTTGGCAGTTGAGAACGTGAGAGCCCCCGAGATAGGGGGCCTCAATAAGGAATGCTGGTTACATCTATTTTACCTTCTTCAATTCTGTCTCTGACCAGCCGACCCACCCCCAGCCAGAACCAGGGAAGGAGCTGAGCTGGTCAGAGGCAGGGAGAAGGAGGGGCCTGACTAGCCACCCCAACGTGGCTGGCCGGGCCCCTTAGTGCACACTGCAGGGATAGGTAGGACCTGCCCCCTTCTCTTTAGCAAAGGGCAAATAGGAAGGAGCCCCCCCAGACTTCAGTTGTGGCAGATGTGACGTGGTTTGTTCCCGCAGGGAGGGAGGGTGGCAGCGACCCTCCTCTGCTGTCAGTGGCCACTGGAGGGGGCCTCTCCGGGGCTACAGGTGGATGGCTGTGACGTCTGTGGGAGTGCTGGTCTGGCTGGGCCCCTGGCTGCTGGAGCCTCTGGGGGCTTTGGGTGCTGGGCTGGGGGACGTCTGGGCAGCTTCCCTGAGGCTCTCCCTGAGTGCAGCTTCAATCTGCTCCTGACAGGCCCGCAGGCAGTCCTGGGAACAAGGGGGGACAGTGAGGAGGGACTGCTGGGTGAGGTGGAGGAAGGTCCCATTGGAGCTGAAGGTCCACTTCCCTCCTCCCATAGCATCTGGCAGCAGTTGCAGGGGACGGACACCTCCCAGCACACAGGGAAGTCTGGGGAGGTTAGGCCACAGCCCAGCCCCAGGAATCAACCTTCAATTCTCAGAAACTGGCAAGAGGATGTGGCAACAGGGTGTGAGCGCAGCCCTGCATCCGACACCAAACCTCCCACCCCCACTCCTGCACACCATTTGGCAGAAAAGGGCACCAAGGGATGGTGCCCTGAAACCCACCCAAGACCACTTGCTTTCCCCCAGACAAGGCAGTAGATAAAACGCCACAGAAGCCCCAAGGGCAGGGCGCGTGAAACCAGGAGTGGGCACCAGGTTGGAGATGGACACCTCCCTCTACTGGAGGCTCAGGGAATAGCGCTTCATGGATTGACAGGCTGCTGCCCAGCTGCCCAGCACTCACCACTTCAGTGCCTGTGATCCCTGCCAGCAGCTCCGTGAGCTCATCTGCGGATGCGGGCCAGGCACCCAGGCCTTGCACTGCAGCCCCAATGCTGCCTGTGGCGATCATGGATGGTGGGTACATGGCAAAGGTGTAATCTTGGGAAGAGGGAGAGGGAACCATGAGGCAAGGAGAACATCAAGAATAACAACCAGGGTGGACTTCCTATCCTTCAGAAAGTGCCAGGCAGCAGGAATAGAGCAGGGGCATACTGGAAAATGCCAACAGTGAGTTGTGTCAGACGGGGGCAAGAGAGAGAGGTAGGAGAGATCCTCTCCTAGAGGGTCAGGGTGAATAGCAGACTTGTGCAGGCCAGGTCCAGGGTGGTCCCTAAGGGACCCAGGCCAGGCACCAGGGAGTGAATGAGTCTCTCCCTGGTGTGGAAACAAAACCAGGGTTGAGACCTGGGTTCTGCTCCTGATTTAATCACCGTGAAACCTTGGGCAATCACTTCTCTCTAAGCCCTGAGTCCCCACCTACATTTGTACCGGGGTCTCTAAGATCCCATACAGCTTAGATTGTGCTCTGCATCTTTTCTGTATTGAAACTGGGGGCTCAGAGGGGACATAATTTTCAAAAATTTTAAAAGGCATGTAACAAGCATCTCCTCTGACCCTCCCACGTCTTGATTTTCTTGATTTGGCAAAAATATGCCTGGAGTGTATTACCTGTAGCACAGAGGGCCAAAAAGGTCTGAGCATGCTTTTTGACCAAGGCCTGTCGGTCGCTGGGCAGAGAGAGCCGGTACAGGATCAGGGCCAGGAAGTCGTGGGCAATCACAGCAGCCAGGTCCCACTTGAGCTTCCCCAGGACCAGCACCTCCCAGTCCTGGAGGTTGGAGAAGAAGCGGGGTCAGTGACTAAAGAAGGCAAGGGAAGAGAGTAACGGAGAAGGAAGCCCACCAAACTCGAAGGTCAAGACCCCAGTTT